AATACCCATCCCTTGTTTGTATGGTCTCAAATACAATCCTTTTCCTGTTTTAATCTTAACGTCACTTACATTTTCCTTTCTTGCTCTGTTAACTTCGTTTATGGCTTTATACACTGAGGTAGCTCCGCCGGCCAGACTTCCGATGGCAGACAGTCCGGCAAATAATGGCAACAGGAACGGTAACGCTCCTCCAGATTTGGGTATGGGTATGATTCTAGGTTTTTTTATTTGATCCTTTTTACCACCCCTCATCGCATTTCTTGCAGCTTTCAACGCTGCAGGAACCAATACCTTAAGTTCTTTGCTTTTACTCTTTTTAAGTTCGTTTTTAGCCGCCAGTATAGCATCCTTGAGGTGTTTCTTCTGTGTATTTCCATTCTTACTGTCATGTTTCGGACTCCTTTTCTGCCTTTTCTTTGTAACACTTTCTGACTTCGATTTCTTCATACCAGCACCGAGTTTAAGTTTTGCTTTCATAGCGTTCGTTACTAAAAAAGCGTTTACCTTTTCACCGAGTTTAGCGTCCGGAGCCGATACTCTCGTCCACGCCCTATCGGCCAGCAGCCTGTCAGCTTTGTGTCTACTCGTTAAATCCTTGTTCTGAGCGTATGCTATATCGTGTTCCTTGCAGTAACTATCAAGTGGATTGATCCCTTTGTCGCCCCTTGCCAGACGTTTCTCCAATTTAGTACCAGCCCCACAAAATTGGTATCCACCCAACAGATGTGCCTCAAAAGGTAGGTTATCAATAAGCTTATTAATTAGACCTCCACCTCGTTTGAAGCTCAGAACCATACTGATGACCAGTCCTACTTGCTATTCAACTTACCTACCCTATCCCAAAAGTCGTCTTTATCATCATCTTCTGTTGATTTACTTTCTTTCAAGGTTTTTATTTCAGACCTAAGATAAGCTAAGTCATTTATCATTGCACTCATGACATCTGATATGGGCTTACCTTCTCTATTTCGGGACCTTGCAGTCAACGAAGAAGCTGGATAAAAAACCTTAAGCTTTTCATCAATACGTGACATATCAGAGTTTATCCTGTTTTTGAAAGCATCTAATTGTTTACGAGTCACAGGTGAATTTTCATTCTCGCTCGCTTTGACAACCAATTGAATATTATACTTTTTTAAATCTATGACACCATTCATATCAGGTTTAATATAATCCTTTATCATTTCCCTCAGTACCACTTCAACTAAAGTTGTATTGTTGCTTCGTACTGTTTCATCTACATATTCTTTGTTTGCAACATCATGTCTTTCAATTGGCTTTTTGACATTTGTTATTATTGAATTATTGATATTTACTTCACTTTTGTCATCAATGTATAAATACTTCTGCATGAGTGTTCTTGCCTGACCTAAAGTAATGGGAGAATAATTATTTATGGCTTCATTTATATTAATTATAAACTTTTTAAAGTTTAATTCTCCTTTTTCTGGTTTAATGAAGGATTCCACCGTCTTGCTAATTATTTGATTTACCCTAACTAATTCTTTATCTAGATAAAGTTTATTTATTGCATCAGAGTCATCGGTTGGATCTTTTTCAATTTTAAAAAAGCTCAATCGTTTATTCTTCATATTAATTTCATCATTGATACCAAAAGTCACACATTTTAAATTAATCTGTGAATTAACATAATTTTCGATGTATTGTTTAGAAACTACATCCGTTAACTCGGTAGGATCTCCAATATTGTTAATTCTCATTCTTTTAGCATTAAAATTGCCATTTTCATACATTAAAGTATTGCTTTTGAAATAATCGAGAGATATTGCATCTTTTCCATCTACAGGGTTTGATATATTTTTAATATTATGATTTTCGCAATCAATAATAAATTTCTTTCTATCAAACTTAATAGTATCTCGTAGTTCTTTGTCCATACTATTTTGAAAGTACCTCTTATTAACAACATCCATGTCTGATTCAGGATCATTGACATTAACAATTTTTCTCTTTCTTAAATTAACTTGTTTATCCTCTAACAATAGACATTTTGATGAAATATAATTTAAAGTAACGGCATCACTAGAATCGACAGCTTCCCCTACGTTTGTTAACCTTTTGTTTTCAATATTAAAATTTTGTTTATCAGTTAGCTTGAAACCTATTCCTGAAGGTCCTACTACAACGTTTTCTTTGGAAGTAAAACCTATATAACCTCCAAACTTGTCGATACTTGGTTTCATCGTCTTGAAAGTCAAACATCAAATGATGCTATTCTCTTATTTTGATTGATATAACTATGTTTTTATTCATGACGTAATATTTAATTGTGTATAAATATATATTTATATCAGATAAATGAAAGGGAGATAAATTAATCTGAAACAAGGTAGGTAATAAATAACACTGAACACAGATTGTATGTCAAAATAATTTATATTTATTTACAAACATATCAAAATTACAAATATACATAACAAATGTCAAATATAATTGTTACACTTACAAAATTATGAAAAAAAATCTATGTATTAATTTGAAGATTCAATGGTTACAGTAATTAAAAACATAAACAATCAAACTAAATAGATAAGTTAAGTTTACAGTTTTTTTCATTACAGTCATAATACTTTCTATTATTCCACTATTTACATAAATTTACTGTAAAGCTCAAATTACTTGATTTATTTGTAACTAGATAATGTCCCTTCTTACAATGACAGACACATGATTGTCAACAATTATTTCCTCTAATTTACAGTCCGGATCATCGTGATCTTCGGAACCACCGTTTAAGACCCAACACACCCTAGCAACCTTTATTAGGACAAGATCCGCGATGTGACTACAGTAATTAATGCTGAACGGCTCGTTTCCATGATTTATTAGGTTAACCCTGACTACGTCTGTATGGTTGGAGTCAATAGACGCTGGAGAGTCTAAAACTGTCACCCCGAAAGTTTCCGCTTGCCATGCTACCGGTCGAATTTGTCCTTCATAACCTTCAGGTATTCTAATTTTTATACCCGCAGATATGGTTTTTCTTTCTCCAGGATTTAATGTTATAGTGTAAATACAGGAAGGGAAAAATGCGTGCAGAGGTATAGCAACCCGACCCATGTTCTCGTATTCAGGCATATTAAGGAAGCCCTCGTCAACAGAAAGTTGTTCGTACCTGACCGGTACAGTTTCCAAAAAAAACATTATCTGAAAAGTAAAAAACTAAATTAACTTACATACAAATCTAACAAATAATTTGAGCTTAACAAGAATCATTGGTCATTTTAGCTTTTTTTGCAATCAGTTCTTTGTGTAAATCAATTTTCCTTTTTTTATTCTCAATTAGTTTGTAATGGCCATATGCCATGGTATGGATATTATCATTTAATACAAATCTTTTATCATCATGAGACGATAACGCTAGTTTTCGTACTTTCGTTGTGTATACATCATGTTTCCTACTCCTAATTATATTCATTTCTTTGTACTGGTTTTGATTACAAAACAAAGCTCTCTCGTAGTCCTGAAAAGTTATTTCATTTTTAACAACACTTTTCTTTACACCCTTAGCACGTTTCTTACAATCATAATTCTTACTAAGAGTAGTATATAGCTTTGTCCTAAGACCAATGAATTTCTTTAGGGGAACTGATAAAGTTTCATCTTTCATAACACCAAGTCTTTTCTTATTATCGAGAGAGAAACAAGCGTGTGTTATTGGGTACTCACTAGTGTCAAAGTAATGTATATTCTCCTTGATTTGCTCATATACGTCAACTGAGTTTACATTTATAAGGTAACTATCCGTATCTGTATATAATAGTTCTACATTTCCTTGACCAAATACACGAGGAAAAATATCATAAAAATATCTATACATTACGATTTTGCTTAGTTCAAGAATAGCCATACCTACTGCAATGGGTTTGTTAAAATTTACTTTAGTTTTATTTAGATGAACTGCTATCAGTTTTTCTGTAAATATAGTTCTATCACGAAAATTAGGCTTAGCAATAAGCTTATCGAGCCTTTTAGTGCTACAAACTATTTCCATATTCATTCTGTTTCTTACGTTTTCCATACATTTGCCATAAACCGAATTGTTCATGAGTTTGAAAAACTCCTTTTCAAACTCATTTTGCGCATTTTTTCTAAATGTTGTGTTTTTTTCGATGTATCCATACAACCACTTAGACTGAACAAATTTCATACCTCTATGGATTTTAACCAAAACCAATCCATGCTCTACGGCCTGTTTTAACGCTTGGCTGTGAATTATGTAATTACGTTTAGGTTCTAAAGTTGTTAACAATTTTGAATGTTTACTACCTGGTGGTACTTTTCTTTGGGCGCAAAATGGTAAGTCGTTGTGTTGTTCATGTAGATGTGCCGGATAATCTAGATCTACCTCAAGTATAAACCCTACTTCATCATTTTCACCAATATCATTAATTTTATTTTTTACTTCATCAATTTCAACAGGGGTTAACCATTTAAAGTCCTTTAACGGTAAACTTTCTCCCATTGCAGCCCCATAAAGGTTATTTATATCTAGGAATAATATAAAGTTTGAATTATCAACTGTCCAGAGTCCCTGATCCATAGGTTTGACACCAGGTTGTGATTCCGAGTCAAGATTTGTTTCTGAAACTAAATACTTATTTGATGCCTCGCAGTAACGTTTAGTGCACATAGAAATACCACCACGAATACCAGCTTCTATGAACATGTACTGTTCATAGCTTGTTAACAAATCGATTTCAACTTTAGTCAATTTAAGACACGCGTCGAACGAAAGGCCAGGAGCTGTGAAATACCAACCTGGGTCCAAACCATAATTGGATTTACAAACTTTTCGGAAATTTTCAAATACATCGCTTAATAGTAACACATCAGTCTTAAGGTAGATATCAGAAAATTCTCCTAAGGTTTGACAGTTAAATTTGTTCCAAACCTCAACAGCCCTATTATAATCTTCTACAGCAACTTCTGACTTATTTAGAGAGCTGTAAAACTGATCAATAGAAGGCAAGCTAGTCTCATTAAATTTTTCCCAGCCATCTATGTATTCGTAGGGAAAACAGCCTTTTTTTGTAACAATATTAAGTTTATCATAACCGAAATAAGAAAGTGTTTCATTGAATTGATTTTTGTCAAGATTTTTGACTAGTTCATCAAGACTTCTAGACATAAATTTGTACGAATCAAGAAAACGAATTTCAAATCTAGCAGCAACTTTCTTTGATAAAGAGATATACCGTTCTTCTGTATTAGGGATTACCTTTATTTCCATTTCATCATAATCGAGACTTTTAATAATAAAATGGAGGTCATAATTTGACATATTGTGCAAGACTACGGGCAAAAAGTGTGGATTTTGATATGACAAGTTACAATTTGAATGACTTGCACCTCTAAATTTCCCTGTATTAGGGTCGTGATCTCTAACCCTTAAATTATCGGCAGTAAACTGTTCTTCACATATGTGACAGCAAGATGAACGTTCAAACATGTCCACTTCTTCATCCGTTAACTCCATAGGCAACTTATTTTTGTACGTCTCGTACACTTTAAGAGCTTCATCTCTGATCTTTTGGCAAAATACCTTCACAGCATTTTCTCCGCGAAAAAGGACTGGTTCTGATTTTTCACCATTACTTGAAACAACATAATAACAAAAACTTGATGGGTAGTGCTTTTGATAGTCAACAGTTGAAGAGGTAGATTGATTTTGCGTAGCATGTTTAGTTTTGCAGGTGTGGGAGTTCTTACAATTCGGTCTTTTACAGTTCAAACAGCATTGATTCAAATTTTTACAGTTGACTCGGAAACAGTTAATACAACATTCATTGGGATTTTTACAGGTAAAAGAATTGCAATTATTACATGGACTTTTTTGTATTAATATACTTTCAAAATCAGCATATACAATGTACGGGACTTGTTGTTGGTGTTTGAAATTTTTAAATTTAAGTTTACAATTATCTTCATTAGGCATTTCTACAGCAACAGGTTCATGATTGTTACATAGCTGTTTATGTACATCGAAGGTAGGTTTATCATTAAAATGGATTAAACATGATTTACAAACAAATTTTCTTCCGTTGTGGTTAGAGGTTTGCGCGCTTACTAATTTATCAAAGTTTTTAATCCACACATAGTGAGATGTTGTTTCATTTTTCAATAGTAATAAATCACGGTGATCATCTTTTTCTTGTTTTGTTACTTTAATAGGATATACAATATATTCCTCACTATTGTGTTTCTTTTCTATTCCAAATATATTTATAGACATATTGTTTATCTGTTCAAATTTAGGTATTGACTTAAGTTTTACAGGATAGTTAATACAGTCCCAGTCATACGCTGCATTCATTTCTGCATTATCAATATAATTGCGGACTCTTTGTGGATTACGAGGTACATTTTTCGCCCATATACTATACTTGAAGCAATAATCATCCTGATTCTTTACATTTACAACAGCTTTCTTGTTTGCAATGAAAGCTGGTAAGGATATATGTTTACATCCTCTTAATGGATAGTATTTATTAATTCTTAGTTCCAGCCCTATAATACTCTTTAGACTCCATCCTGAACCTTTACCTTGGTGTTCTGATTGTTCTGTTAAAAGTTTATCAAAAGCGTTTTTACAATACGTGTTTAGATCTGTACCTAGTAGTATGGGCTCGTTTGCAGTCTTAAATGACAGTTCTTTGATTTCATCTTCTTCTCCTTCAGTTCTTGCATAGATACATTTTAAAATAATATTACATTTCAGAGTTTTCGACTTAAGAAGGTGTTCTTGAATTTTTGAAATAATCAAAGGTTTCGTGTGATATTTTAAAAAATTACCTATATCGATGTATCCTTCACCATTTGTTAAGTAATAGGTTTTAAGCCTACATTTTGCAGCAGACTCGGTCTCAATAATTGGCAAATAGCCCAATGTATTTTTTAAATGAGTGTTACTTGCAGGGTGATTGTCAGATTCTCTGTACCACGTATTACATGGTTTACAAAATTTGAGTTTAATCGTTGCAAGATAGTTTTGCATCGTTAACAGATTACAATAGAATAGTAATTTATATTTGACAATGATATGGAGTATTTCTTATTCAAATTATAAAATGTATTTTTCTATAATTGGCTAGTCCCTACAATGTATTGTACTATAGTAATTGATGGTTTTTCACTATCTCTTACTATTGATGATCTTCGAGCGCAGCTCAGCCAGGCGTCTGGTTTGAGCCAACGTGAGGTCTGCCGCCGCGGAGATTATTGTCACTGCCCCAGCATACTCCCCAAACCTGGCCTGGAGCGATGTGAGCTTCACACAATACGGCAGCCGTACTCTGTATGTTTGGTCATCCCTCCGTTCAAACTTAAACAAACATGTAAAATAAAATTAATTTATAATATTTTTTAAACGTGTGTTAAAATAAATTAAGTGCTGTTATCTTCTGTACCTTATCTAGAAATATATCAAAGTTTAGTTATAGGTTTAGTCATAAGTTTAATTTATAGGTAAAAAAAATAATTAATCAACCTAAACATTAATTAACAAAGAAAATAATGATGAACATGAAACGATAAATTAAAGCCTTCTTGTTCCATACAATGACAATTTAGTTTTTGGGCAATCATTTTTGAAATAATCATAATTCAAAATGTAGATATAAAAATAGAAATTGACATTGATAATTTAATTCATAAGTATGATTATTTAATTTAGGGTATTATTACTTGCAAATAAGTTTAATATACAGTGTATTTATCAGATAGTGATATAACATATCATCACTATTGAATCTTAGGTGAATTTGGTTGAAAACATTTTAAAGATATAAAGTATAACGTTTATAAATCTAAAGTTTTTTATCAATAATATTTTTATTTTTTTCCTACCTGAACATTAGGTTGAGGGAACACTGCCTTCAAGATAATGTAGAGGTCTTCAAGACTCTCCAGGCCTGATCCCTCGACGATGGAAACGTCCCAGGTGGAGGGTGTGGTCAGCGCGTTGGAGGAAGACATGATGATAATGATTTTGTGTGCGCGAATTATATATCTATATATATACTGATAAGATATGACGTCTTTGACCTTAACCTCCACACGTGGTATTTACGTTATCAGTCGGAAGTCATTAAACACACACGCTGCAACGCTGCACTTTGTAATGGTTACGCAAATTATTATGTTTTGATAAACTAATGCTGCATCCATGATAATCCCTATCAAGAGTTTTTGCACGCCACGATAAGCCTTGCATCATCAAGGATAATTATCAGCTCAGCGCTAAATATTTATTTAAATATACAAACAGTAGTTTTATGATATAAATGAATTTCAGATATAAATGTACAAATATCCTTATTAAACAAATTGTTTTCATGGTAAACAACGTCATCGTTAAATGACATGCCATAAAAGCGCTTTTAAGTCCACCATAAGTGTTTTTAAATTAATTTATTAAGATATTATTATTTATCCATTATTTCTTACATAAGGCTAACAATTTAACATTCTATTTACTCCACACATTTGGAAAACTATCTACACTCAACACTAAATGGCAGAAGCGAGAAGCGTTTGTCAGTCAAACGTTACCACCTTAAAAATCGAGTTTTAAATAAAAATATTTATAATACATCTTGTCGTACGCCCGACATCAGGTAACAAACACCCTTCCAAACCGACACACCTCCGACACCTTTCCCGTGTGCCAGCCTCCGCGGTGCCAGCTCTCTCAACCGTCCACCCCGACACGCCGACGGAAACTTTCGACACCGTGTGCCAGCTCTCTCACCGTGCCAGCTCTCTCACCCATGTACGTTCTCCCCGTGCCAGTTCTCTCAGCCGTTTAATAACACGGTGGTGCTAGCTCTCTCATTTTTACCCTACTGTCATCCAGAGTGGGGAAAAGTAAAAAGATGAGGAAAAAACTTGTACGGTATCCTATCAATTTATTTGTACACCTAACCTCATCAATATGACGTTCTAAGTTACAAAGTTCACAGTTAATTTTGAATTCCAATATACCTGTTATTGTAAAAATGCTAAAAGTAATTACTATAAAGACCTATCATTGTTGAAAAAGTAACCATTGGAAATCATGATAGTTTAAGCAACTCTATTGCTTGTTACATTATTATACAGTGTAAATTTTTTTCACTGTTTTATTTTCTTGAGAAATTAATTTTGATGTTTTCACCTTGATTCTTTATTAGCCGACAATATTTACTAAAATAAAAAAAAGATTAGTCTAAATTCTGATTCTGTTCAGTTATTATGACTGTACATTTGCAGAAACATGAAAAGATAAATTAATTAAAACAGAATTGAATCTAAAGAATTTTTCAAACCTGTACTAGGTGTCTTAGCATTATCTCTTACAGAATAATTCACAAAGTTTAATGTTTTGGGAGCGAAAGGCAACTTCAGAGTGTAGATTGTCTGTAGTTTTTAGTGGCTTCAGTAATCCTAGAGGTAAAGTTAGCATTTTGGTAAGTAAGTATGTAATATTTATTTGTAAGACTACTTTATTAGATTTTTTGCTGGAAAACGGGTGGAAAACTTTACAAACAAATTACAATATAGTGTAAAACGATAAACAGTCGCATGTTTTACAAAAACCATCGATCATATTTTTTTCAAATTAACCGGTAACAGCTACGGTAAAAGAGAAAGAAAAAGCTAGCATTATTTTACTTAATATAGGTATTCTTTGCTCCATGGCTGCTGGGCTGATGAATTGTGTCAGAATTTATTTACAATTTACGAATAGATGTTTCTTATATTATTTTAATTTTACTCTTAATGTTCTTACATCTACATGTTATGATTGCCTTGTGTGTGTTTTTAATTTTTACTTCAACTTTAGACAATTATTTGACTTAAATACTTTCTTGGACTTTTTATTTGCAATCTTACTGAGATTTCCAGTAAAAATTATTTTAGAAAAAATAAAGAAACAAAATTTACTCAGTTTGTCCCTATACAAATCCACCACAAATAAATTACACATTAAAAATTTTGTCAACTAAGCATGATATGTGTTTTTTTTTCAAATTTGTTAACACTTTTATACTGTTAATTCAACTCGCTGTCAGTTTGTTGTTCTTATTTGAATTTTTGTTCATGTTTCATTTGGCTTTATGTTATGTGATTAAATCTTTTTGTCTTTCCATTATTTAAATAGTAGTTATAATTTATACTATTTATTACTTAGGCTTATATATTAGTAACCATTATTTGTTATAGTTTTTTTTAATAATTTTATAAGTAGCCTAAATACACTATTGTATCTCATACAGTCAGTGGTCTATAATTTTTTAAACACAAACAAAATCATGCTTTACTATAAAGATTCATCTGTACTTGTCAACATAATCATATTACGACTCTTATGTAGTTTAACTCACAACACTTTGCAGCAATTTACTTTACCCGAAAAATTTTACTTGCTTCTACAACAAAGAGCTTGCACACTTAGTTATGAATTGTTTTATTTTATAGCCTAGTCTAGAGGTTTTGCTCGTCCGCTAGCTTCAAAAGCGTAATTTGTTTGCCAGTTTACTGCCCGATGTTTTCCAATGGACTGTGGGATTTACTGTAACCATAGGTAAGGGTACGTGTTTCAGAGGAGACCTGCCCCAGGGTTCATGGTCCAACCTGTAAGTTCACAGCTTCGCATAAATGTTTACACCTTCTATGTGTCTTTTGCAGGTTGTGTTTATGAATGACCGACTGTTACGTTTACAAATAGCATGGTTCTCGAGATTTTTATGTGCAAAAAATTGTTTAAGGAAACTGGATTTTTTTAAGTGGTTGTTGAAGGAATAGTTTGATTTTATTGGGAGGTTATTTTAACATATTTTACATATTCAATGTTTGGACCTTGTTTATCTGTGTCAAATTTATTTATTGTAATTTTGAACCTAGTTTTTCTTTTTCTATACAATTGTTTATGGTTGAAGAGAAGAGAGAATCAGAAATGACAGTTTGACTCCTAATGCGTGTTTTAAGAGTAGAAATACAGTGAAATTAAGGGACACTTACGTCTGTTTAGAACAATTTGATCTCTGATTCTTTCTTCTTGTCATCTGATTTCCCCCTTCACCTTTGATTATTCTTCCAAAGATGTATCTGATCTCATCCTGTGGTGTTTCCTCTTTTGTGCTCATTGATTTTTTTTTCTTCTAGACAACTTTATAACTATTTCCTTTTTTTTTTGTCAAACCGTTATAAACGTTGCTCTTTTCAGAAACAGACTTATGAAACCTTATAAAATATCGAAATAATATCAAAAATAAGTTATATAGGTACTGTAGTTCCTTTTCATGCAAAACAAAGTCAATTCAATAAACACTGTAAAAAATGAAGTTAAAATTTGTAGAATGTTGCCCAGTAGTAAAACATGTTTTAAAGAGTGACCCTTTTCCTATAAAGTATGTTATTTGATTAAAACAAGAAAACTTCAGTATATTTTCTTTACAATGAATTTTTGTTCTTTCTCTATTTGTTGCTCTGTTCATGTCCCCTTTATTTGCATCGATATGTGTGTGGTTGTTTTTGTATTCCTGAATAAACATTTCTTTATTCTTAAATTGAGTTTTATAAAGCTACAAAATATACATCTATTCCCTATTCTGTGGTTTTACATTTTTTGTATACCTTAAATCAAGAAAGAAAAAAACAAAAATTTTTCCTGCAATATCTAACAGCTTCAAACGAGCTTAACTAATTTCATTTTGAACACTTAAATGTAATCTTATCTGAACTGGTTATGCTTTACTGTAGTACTTACCAGAAAATGTTAGGCGACGTAAGAAATTATGTTTTTATTGAGCATCATAAAAATGTACCAACTTTAACTAAACTTTAATCCAGGGTCAAATTTGAGGGAACACAGTGAATATTTTTGCAACCCCTGTCTTTACAAACAATCTTTGGAAGTATTAAAATATTTAAAAATTAATTCCCAAACAAATTCTACTACTGATAGTGGGGTCGTATAGCTGCATATAGTGGCAGAATATTTCAGTTCTGGCAGACAGGCTGCAATTTTAGGTGGTCATAGTATACAAGTTTCTGAACCTAAAACCGCCCAGACCCCAATTTTTAAGGACCTCGGTCGTCCGTAATGACTTCATCAAAATGGCGGCCGTAAGAGGATGCTGGGTCCCCATGAATTGGCTATAACGACCGAATGCCTGAACCGATTTTCATGAAATTTGGCACACAAGTGCTTGAATACATTATCTCGGCCTGGGTTGAAAATTGTCAAGTTTCATAAAGTCATTTCAAAATGGCGGCTATTCAATACAAAAAAAAAATATGAGGAAAATAATTGTGAATTGTTTTATACAGGGTGAGTTTTAAAAGAGTTCCCCCCTACTTTTTTATACATTTCTTAAGATATCAACTTTGAACCATGTCAGATCATTGTAGAGTAGCAAGTACTTCATTTTGACTGGGTTTACATTTTTGGCCGCCATCTTGGATCCGCCATTTTGGATACAAAAATTCTTTTCAAATATAAGGATAGGGTTGTGACCCACCGTTTCAAACAAAACCTTTACGCTGAATACAATGCTGCAATCCGTTAAAAAAAATGTTGATCCATTCTAAAGTTATGAGAACTTTTTATAACTTTATTTTTAGTCCATTATAACATTGTGCAATTACAAACTAAGGCCATAATCTCAAAATAGTGCTAGATAAAGATAAGTAGACACCACCATTCATTGTTGACCTATTTTCACTCGGTTATGACGGATGTATTTTTTTCAGCCGCCATCTTGGATCCGCCATTTTGAAATATGATAAATTATTTTTAATATGAAGGGGGTGTTGTGACCCATCATTTTGAACTACTTTTTTATGTTGAATTCAATGCCGCAATCCGTTTTTCATTGTCATGTTTGGTTTTTGAAATATTGACATTTTAAATCAAAATAATTGTTATATTTTATCAAGAAAGCTTGATAACAAAAAACGGATAAAATAAAAACTAGTCGAAATGAAGTAATCGCTACTCTACAATTATCTGACGTGGTTCGGAGTTGATATCTTAAGAAATGTATAAAAAAGTAGGGAGGGGAACTCATTTAAAACTCACCCTGTATAAAACAATTCACAATTATTTTCCTCATAATTTTTTTAGTTTTGAATGGACGCCATTTTGAAATGACTTGATGAAACTTGACCCAGGCCGAGATAATGTATTCAAGCACTTGTGTGCCAAATTTCATGAAAATCGGTTCAGGCATTCGGTCGTTATAGCCAATTCATGGGGACTCAACATCCTCTTACGGCCACCATTTTGATGACGTCATTACGGACGACCGAGGTCCTTAAAAATTGGGGTCTGGGCGGTTTTAGGTTCAGAAACTTGTATACTATAACCACCTAAAATTGCAGCCTGTCTGCCAGAACTGAAATATTTTCCTGCTACCCAACCTGACTATGAAGGCTTTGTAAGGATACAGTTTTTTAGCACAATCAGCTGTATGGAGGAGGGATGTTAGTGGATGCAGAGGAAGTATGGTAGATGGGAGTAGTTTATACTTAATAGTTCAAAATTACCAATAATTAATAAACACTGGAGTCTCGCTAATACAAACATCCTGTTGCATAACAAAGTTACTGCATTTCAATTCAAAAACTAAGCTACATGCTCTGCAATACCAGTTAACCTGGAATTGTACGTAAATTGAATTTTGAATGGAACCTGAAAAATTTGGAATAATCGCCAACAGCCAAAGGTCAATCCTTCATAAGTGGCGTTCAGTTGGCTCTCTTTTAGCATTGTCGTGTAGAAAGAAGAATGAGATCATGAGAGATGATTATTTGAGTTATGCATTAGATAATCAGGGATTTTGCAATATTGTGGCTATGATCGTAGGAAATGATCACAGTATTGCCAGCATCTCGTGACATTTGCCATACAGTGATAAAATACATTGTTTCATATTTGTTATATAATTTACAGTTTTTCCGGCTCTTCTAAACAATTAGTAGTCTGTAACAGGATCCGCCTGCAATTTGGTTTATCGAGACTCTAGTGTTAGCCTACAGATTAATAAGCATTTATTGAGATTTATTTCACTCAAAGATTATTGTGTCCAGATAATTTAATATAGATCGTTCTGTTTAATGATGCAGGGAGGCCGTGGGAGGAGGAGGTGGTTCCTCAGACGAGGGTGTGGAGAAGGACAAGAGAGGAGACGATGTTTGTCCGTGGGACACACCGGGGTCCCCAGACAAGAAGCTACATGCGGTAGCAGACGACACATCAGGGTCTCAGAAGTTACATCCGGTAGACGACACGGCAGCATGCTCCTTTGACTCGCTCGGACACGTCGGGTCTCGCAAGAACTCAACACAGCTGGACTCGGGCAGCTCGTCCTCCGACATCAGTCTTGCGGTGGCTGTCGAAGTGAGTGAAAGACTTCGGAAGAACTGTAATGTGCAGGACAGATTCCAGGGACGTCGATCGTCAAACGTGTGTCCTCGGCCCTCTGTGTCGTCCATGGAAGACGTGACGCCTCAGAGGTCGTTTGACTCGACGTCGTGCGAGGCCAACATAAACCTACCCGTGGAAGTTCCTGAGAGAATACGTAAAAAGTCGGTGAGCGGACCACCCGGCCGGAAACAGTCGACTGTGGCGCCACTCATCAGCGTTAGTTCCGTAGCGGAGAACCCAGGTGGAATGGAGGAGACGGAGGAGGGGGAAGTGGTGTCGGCTACAACGGGCGTGAAACAGGAGACATCACAGAAACCTCCGGAGAACTCATCAGAGAAACCCTCAAGCACACCTCAAGAAGCCTCTGGGAAAACCAACGACGTTTGTCCTTGGGAAGATGAGTAAGTGGAAATGAAATCTCACTTCATTAAGCAAGTTAGTAGATCTTACTAATATTATAAATCTGAAAGTTTGTGAGTTTGTGTGTATGTTTGTGTGTGTGTTTGTGTGTGTGTTTGTGTGTGTGTTGCTCAATCACGCATAAACTACTGGACGGATTGGGCTACAAATTGGCATGATGATAGCTCACATTCCCGATTAACATTAAAGCATATTCTTATCTCAAAAATCCTTTCGGGCTCCGCCCCAGTGGTTCTGTAGTTCCCAATGTTAATCTCATGGGTATTCATATTTAAAGGGAATTAAAGAATTCAGTCAGCTGTTCCAACTAAAAAAGGCTTTACATCATGCAACATAATCAGACATTCCAAATAGTTCATAAGGTTAACTTCAGAATGCAGCACTTAAAGGTAACGTTTATGTGATTTAAATATCCTAAAGAAATACAGCTGCCATTTTAGTTATTTGTTTATATTTTGTTTTTTTGTTTTTATTTTGGTTTACGCATCTAAATATCGACACGTCATTATGGATTCGATGTTAACTGCTGTTTTGAATTCAAGAAATACATCTTAAAATGCCGAAGAAACGTAAGTCAAATTTATCCCAAAGTTCGCGAAAAGCCAAGCGACAAGCAGCTCACAGATTAGCAGAAGCGCCAGAAGAACGTCAGCGTCGACTTGAGGAGAATGCTCAGCGGCTGGCAGGTCACAGAGCAGCAGAAACACCAGAGGAACGTCAGCTTCGATTAAATGAGAATGCTCAGCGACTGGCAGCTCACAGAGCAGTAGAAACACAAGAGGAACGTCAGCTTCGACTATCAGATCAAGCCCACCGGCAGGCCAGCTTGAGAGTAGCTGAAACACCAGAAGAACTTCAGCTTCGACTAGAGGAGAATGCTGAGCGACTGGCAGCTCACAGATCAGCAGAAACACCAGAGGAACGTCAGCTTCGATTAAATGAGAATGCTCAGCGACTGGCAGCTCACAGAGCAGTAGAAACACAAGAGGAACGTCAGCTTCGACTATCAGATCAAGCCCACCGGCAGGCCAGCTTGAGAGTAGCTGAAACACCAGAAGAACTTCAGCTTCGACTAGAGGAGAATGCTGAGCGACTGGCAGCTCACAGATCAGCAGAAACACCAGAGGAACGTCAGCTTCGATTAAATGAGAATGCTCAGCGACTGGCAGCTCACAGAGCAGTAGAAACACAAGAGGAACGTCAGCTTAGATTATCAGATCAAGCCCACCGGCAGGCCAGCTTGAGAGTAGCTGAAACACCAGAAGAACTTCAGCTTCGACTAGAGGAGAATGCTGAGCGACTGGCAGCTCACAGATCAGCAGAAACACCAGAGGAACGTCAGCTTCGATTAAATGAAAATGCTCAGCGACTGGCAGCTCACAGAGCGGTAGAAACACAAGAGGAACGTCAGCTTAGATTATCAGATCAAGCCCACCGGCAGGCCAGCTTGAGAGTAGCTGAAACGACGGAGCAGAATGAACGACGTAGACAACAACACGCTGTTCATATGGCATCCCAGCGAGCTACAGAAACTGCTGAGGAAGCTGAATTTCGCAGAAACGTTATTGCGGCAAGGGCTGCCCAACGGCGGCAAACGTTCCACAGGAATACGTGGGGCGTCTTTGAAAATGCTGCCTTAGAGTACGACCCAACTCTAGATTACAGTAGTCATGTTTTGATAAAAGTTGGGCGAATGGATACTGAATGTCGATACTGCAGAGCTTTAAAGTGGAAGGAGGAGCCTGTAGGGATGTGTTGTGCTGGTGGTAAGGTTGCTATTCATCGGCCACAAGAGCCAGTACAACCTATGAAAGAGCTATTCCTCGGTGAGACTAATGAGTCAAAGCGATTTTTGAAAAATATTAGGCGGTACAACACCTGCTTTCACATGACATCGTTTGGGGCAGATACAATAGTGAACATGCCTGGGTTTTCACCAACCTTTACAATTAAAGGGCAAGTCTACCACAAAATTGGGTCCCTACTTCCTGCACCAAATATGCAGCCAAACTTTTTGCAGATATATTTTTATGGAGATGAGGAAGCAGAAACTGATAGAAGATTTGAAATCGTACCAGGGGTTGAAAAACCAACGCTAAGAAAAGTACAGACAGTCCTTCATGAGCATAATAATTTAATCAAAGAGTTTAAAACTGCGATAGAGGTTATGCCGGATGAAAGCTGCAAATTAATAATCCACCCTGATCGCGTCCCTCATGGGCAGCATGAGAGACGATACAACTTACCCACCATAAACGAAGTGGCAGCCATTGTAGTGGGCAATGATCATTCTACAAGTAGAGACATTGTGTTGCACGCCCGCGATGACAAGCTATCCCGTGTCGCGGACACGCATAGGTTCTATGATGCCCTTCAGTATCCGATAATTTTCTGGAATGGCCAAGAAGGATACCACTTTGATATACCCCAAATTAACCCACTCACTAGACAGCCTTTGCCAAATAAAAAAGTGTCATGCATGGATTTTTATGCATTTCAAATCATGGTGTGTGCAAATGAATTCAATTTACTTCTGCGCTGCAATAAACTTTTACATCAATTTCTGGTAGATATGTATGTAAAAATAGAAAGCGAACGTTTGAGGTTTATCTCATTGAACCAGAAAAAGTTACGGGCTGAAAATTACATACACCTGCAGGATGCTGTAAGAAACGACAACAATGTGAATCCTAATGATTTAGGACAGATGGTGATTCTTCCGTCAACTTTTGTTAACAGCCCTCGATATCTTCACGAGTACACGCAAGATGCATTTGCTTATGTCCGTAACTATGGACGCCCGGACTTATTCATCACGTTTACGTGTAACCCCTCTTGGAATGAGATAACTGATGAACTCATGCCTGGTCAGAAAGCTACAGATCGCCACGACCTCATTGCCAGAGTTTTTGAATTGAAAGTGAAAAAACTTATATCTCTGCTCACGAAAGGTAAAGTATTTGGAGATTGCCAGTGCTTTATGTACTCAATAGAGTGGCAGAAGCGTGGCTTACCACACGTACATGTTTTACTGTGGCTTAAAGAAAAATTGCGTCTAAATCAAATGGATGACATAATTAGTGCTGAAATCCCAGATCCTGAAACCGACAAAAAACTGTATGACGCAGTTCTAAAACATATGATCCACGGACCATGTGGCAATTATAATACATCAGCTCCCTGTATGAAGGACAGTAAGTGCACAAAGACGTACCCTCGGGCGCTACTAGATGCCACTCAAACAAATGCGAATGGTTACCCTCTGTATAGACGTGCAGCGCCAGAGGATGGAGGACGCACAGCTACTATTCGAATACGTGGTGGAGAAGAAGTTGTAATAGATAACAGCTGGATTGTGCCATATAATCCCCTACTCCTTAAAATGTTTACTGCCCATGTGAATGTGGAGTATTGTGGCTCTGTACAGGCCATAAAATACATTTGCAAATATATTAACAAAGGGAATGATCAGGCAATATTTAATGTTAGGCAATCCGATAATGTGAACATTGATTCTAGGGATGAAGTGCAGAGTTTCAGAGCTGGACGTTACGTGAGCAGTAACGAAGCAGCGTGGCGTATATTGGGATTTCCAATGCACGAGAGATACCCCACTGTAACCCATCTCGCGGTGCACTTGCCCAATGGCGAGCGTGTCTTCTTCAATGATCAAAATCTCCACGACAGAATCGCTACTCCTCCTATGACGACTTTAACTGCATTCTTCCAACTTTGTCAAAATGATGAATTTTCAAAAACTTTGCTCTATGTTGAAGTACCACGTTATTATATCTGGAATGCATCGGCGAAAGAGTGGAAGCGCCGCAAACAAGGAAAGCCTGTTGAGAACTGGCCGGGAGTAAAAGCTGCAGACGCACTAGGTCGTATATATACCGTACATGTCAGCAACTTTGAGTGCTACTGCTTGCGCATGCTGCTTAATCAAGTACGGGGCCCATCAAGCTTCCACGATCTTAAAACAGTGGGTGGACAAGAACATGCTACATTTAGAAAAGCCTGTGAGGCACGTGGGCTTTTAGAAAGTGACGACCATTGGGACGCTACCATGGATGAAGCCGTGCTGTGCCGATCACCAGCTAAAGTCAGAGAGTTGTTTGCAGTTATAGTAAGTACTTGCGGTCTCTCAAATCCACTTCAACTGTGGGACAAGTACAAGGTTGCATTATCAGAAGATATAGCTCATAGACTCCAAGGTACGCACATAGAATTGATAGTTAATGAGGCTTTAAAGTTAATAGAGAACAAAATAACTAATTTATCTGGGATGAAAATGACAGACTTCGGTTTGCCCACTCCAGAACAAAGGGGAGAATTGTCAAGCGATGTTGTAAGAGAACTGAATTACGATGCCGTTGCCTTAGATATCTTTGTCCATGATATGGAGCCACGTTTGCTTCCCGAACAAAGGCACGTTTACGATGTAATTATACAGCATGTAAATAGTAGTAATGGGGGACTCTTCTTTCTGGACGCACCAGGGGGTACTGGTAAAACATTTGTGTTAAACCTACTGCTCGCCCGACTTCGCAAGGACCGGAACATAGCCCTGGCTGTGGCTTCCTCGGGAATCGCTGCAACGTTGTTGAACGGTGGACGGACAGCACATTCTACTTTTAAATTGCCATTAAATCTAGCAAGCCAAGAGACCCCTACATGCAACATAAGTAAAAATAGCAACCGCGGTGCTCTCCTGCAACAGTGCAAGTTAATTGTGTGGGACGAGTGCACTATGTCGCACAAGCACGCCTTAGAGGCTTTGAACTTCAGCCTGCAAGATATACGCAGCAACCAATCTCTAATGGGAGGTGTTGTAGTTCTGCTCGCTGGTGACTTCAGACAGACACTGCCCGTTATTGAGAGGGGGACACCGGTGGATGAGATGAATGCATGTCTAAAGGCGTCTCAACTGTGGTCCAAGGTAATAAAGCTCCAGCTTACATGTAACATGCGTGTCCAGCTTTTCAACGATTTGGAGTCAGGTGCCTATGCGTCTAAGCTTCTGAAAATAGGAGAGGGTCTCCTAAAAACAGACACAGATGGAAAAATCGAATTTACCAATGATTTTTGTCATCCAGTGACAACAGAGGATGAACTTATTGCTCACGTTTATCCAAACATACAAAGGAATATAAGCAACGAAGAATGGTTATGCGAGAGGGCAGTTCTATCTCCAACAAATGAGTCTGTCAACAACATCAACAAACATATATTGGCAATGTTAGCAGGGGAGTCAAAAATATACACGTCAATAGACACTGTGATGAGCAGTGACGACAGTCCCACTTACCCTGTAGAATTTCTAAACTCATTGGAACTAACAGGCGTGCCTTCCCATAAACTCGAGCTAAAAGTTGGCGTACCAGTTCTGCTGATGCGCAACCTTGATGCACCAAGATTGTGCAATGGCACTAGGCTTCGAGTCACAGAGCTAGGAAGAAACATAGTACATGCCACTATTCTGACTGGAACAGCTAAAGGAGAAAGCGTTTTGATTCCAAGAATCCCGATTATTCCTAATAATCTGCCATTCCAGTTTAGGAGGCTACAGTTCCCGATAAAGGTGGCATTTACGATGACAGTCAATAAGTCACAGGGACAAACGCTGAGAGTTGCAGGAATTCATTTGGGAACACCTTGCTTCTCACACGGTCAGCTATATGTCGGTTGTTCAAGAGTGTCAAGTCCCCAAAACCTGCATATACTGGCTGAGAATAACAAATCTTACAATGTTGTCTATAGAAATGTATTATTGTAATGAATTTACATCAATACAACATAGATTTTTCCAGTTTAAAAAGGTGTTGTTGTATTGTTATTGTTTTATCTGGAATTTGTTGATGAATTATTCTACAAATTAAAAATAGTTTTGTTAAATAAAGAGTTCAATTTGTTAATATTTATTCGGGTGATTACTTTTCTATTTAATTTAAGATGCTAAGTTTATGTAAGTACATAATATATGGAGTATATCAAGTTCGAATAGAAAAAATATAGGGAATGAGATGCTGGATCTAACAATAAGACAAAAAGGTTACGTCGAGCGAAGCCGGCGGGTAACAGCTAGTTGCTAATAAATCTAAATATTTTTATAGTTTTAGCATATGATAAATGATGTAGGCGGATGTTATATGAAACCTAAGAACGTTTTATAAATGTAGATCAAGTATACGACTTAAGATCCTCACAGCTTTAACGATATTTTATTTTAATTTGTGAACTAATTTATTTAGGTTCTTGTCTTGATAGAAATCATCAAAATTTGATTACCTTAAAATAGAAATTTGATAGAAAGAAAATTTTACTATTAAGGACATTTTGTTTCATATAACAACCGTTTCAATATTAGTGTGTTTCTTACTATTTTGTTGTCGAATCAATAACAACCTAATTTTCACTCAAGAAAATCAAAATATTTAACAATCTATAACTATAAGAAATATTTATTTCCTTTGTTATCACAGTTTCAGTGTATTAAATGAAAGCGATGGTTTAAGTTAAATTCTTAAGAGAATCCTCCATTCTCTTCTGGCACATTTGAACTATTTTCAAATCACTAAATCTTCTCTTTTTTCTTATTAATTTGTTGTAAACTCGTACCTCTCACAACACATTATTTGGTGGCACGCTTTATTTGGCTTATTATTTTGATCATTTAGGCTATGTCAGACATTTTGTTTTTGTTCTTCTCACTTTTAATTATATTTTTTACTCTGTTTATTTCTACAGTGTTCCAAAACACAGTTAAGACCTTTGCTGCTATTTTGGATTTACAATGGAACAATCATTTTTGTGAAAACCAACAGATAAATTGAAGTCTTCCAAAAAAACAGTTCATGAAATAATAAACAGGGTAAGTTTTGCAATGTGATTAAGTTATAATCAAACTTTATTAGATTATATACTCTTTTTAAAACTCATGTATGAAAAAAGTAAATTTAATCAAAGGCTTTTGCAATTCTAAATATTTTTTAACTCGCTGCATGTTTTTACTTACACTTTTTAATTTACTTATTCATCCCTGTTTTATAATTTCAGTAGTTCAAATAATTGCACTCCACATCTACTCACGGTTAGTTATTAATTTTAGAGACGATTTTAATGACTTTTAAACAGACTATTTCAGTTGTTCATGAATTATAAAAGATTCCTATGCAAATAAGAAGTTAGTTATACGTCTCGCCACCCTAAGTTGAGGCAGCCCAAACTGACCGTGAGGGTCATTACCGGCTGTTCTGGCACGACCCTTTATAATCCAATTAGCGACACTTCCGTGAACGCTCTAGTTCAATAATTATCATTAACAAATTTTAAATCCGATGTATAAATTTAGTCATTTACATTATTAACTTTGATTTAATACACATTTCCGTTTTCGCCCCATCAAAAACGGACAATGTTTACGGTTTGTGAGCTATAAACAAAAACACTACTTGGTTTTTTGTTTATAGCTCACAAACCGTAAACAATGTCCGTTTTTGATGGGACAAAAACGGAAATGTTTGTTCAATGAAAGTTATTAATGTAAATGACTAAATTTATACATCGGATTTAAAATTTGTTAATGATAATTATTGAACTAGAGCGTTCACGGAAGTGTCGCTAATCGGATTATAAAGGGTCGCGCGGGAACAGCCGGTTTTGACCCTCCCGGTCAGTTTGGGCTGCCTCAACTTAGGGTGGCGAGACGTATAGTCAAAATGTAACCAAGGTATGGTTATTGAAATATTTTTCAGGAACGTAACAAGATCCAAGAAAATAATGCTTGTGATGTTATCATTCTTATCAAGTCAGATGGAAGCGCCACTGGGCACATTATAATCTATATACGAGCGAAAGACGAGTGTAGAATGAAGGAAAATTCTTAGTCCAACTTAGTTGACAATAAGAGCAACAGTTTTTTTAAGCCACTCATTTATCACAGGTCCAATGATCGGTCAGCTTAGTCCAGTTTGAATATTTCTGACGCTGATGTTCTGGTGCTCATGTTTCTGGTGCACACAATTCTGGTGTTGACGTTTCTGGCACTGATGATTCTGGCAGTGATTTTCTAGCACTGACGTTTCTAACATTAACATTTCTAGTGCTGATGTTTTGGTGCTAACTTTTCTAGGACTGGTTTTTTTTTCAGAGCAGTAAAAGAGCACTGCTACTATAGTAATACTCTTATTGAGTACAGAAGTACTGTTTTCAACTTTGATTGAAGAATCATTATTTCTATTATTAAAGACATTGTGAACAATAATTGGTTGTGTGGTCCAAGTTTTCTATGTTTGTAGTTCTTGGGTTTGCCACAATGTTTTCTCTACCTTTTCCTCCATCTTTGCATCATATTTTCTGTAAAGAGTTCTACTTTGTATTATTCTGTGAGAACCAATACTAGAACTCCCTCCTTCAACAACTGTGGCCCAACACAGTACTGTAGTTGCATAATCATAACGACTTTGTATACTTCTGCCTCCCAACACTTCTCGTACGATTCACCTGCGTAGTATACGTACACATGGTAAGTGGGTGGATTACCTATTGTTTGCAACACTTATTATTAATTTAAAATATGGAAATATATACTACTTTTTCTTTAGACAAATTACAGATTACCAACTTATTAATTAATTTCCTTTTTTTCAGGGACAGTTGCAAAGTGGATACGCCGTTTGTCAAGACATACGTGACGCTTGACTATTTGTAACAACTAGTGAATTCAGTTTATTCGCTACCTGAGCAGTGTTGGCTTTTCAAAATTAACTGACCTCTTGAAATTAACTTTCACCCGCACCACACTATGTTAGTTTGTGTTAACTTGTTTTCCGTTCAATGTTTGCTTTTCGAACGATCGCCATCCATCTCGGTTTGGTCGGTTATGAGCGTTGTGATTTGGCGCAGATTGAATGAACAGATTATTGATTCTGATAGTTAGATATCTTGAAAATAACCTAGACACAATATCTGAAGTGAAATGATACTGATAAAAGCAAACATTTGCAAGGTTATTCTCGGGAGGATTATTTGTAATGTGAGCTCGGGTGCGAAAGTTGCACAGGTGCAGATTTACCCGTATCAAACTGAGCCCTTGGTGCGGGAAAATCCAAACTTCTGCTTTTTCGCACTTGCGGTAAATAAGAAAAAAAAGAAAAACACAAAAAAAGTAGATGTAATGTTAGTTGGGAAATTTATTCTATATTGATGTTGAGCTTATTTACCAATATACCCTCATGTTTGCACATTCGCAGTTCTTGCACCATTGTCTAAGTGTAACTCGGTGTATCGGTGTTCCGATTAGTGTGTATGTGTTAGATGTACGCATTACATGTGTCGTCTTATTGTTTGATGAAGCTCACATTACGAATAATTCAAGGTCGGATATATGAGGAAAGGACAAAGTTTTGTGGTGTGAACGAAGAGATGGGTAATGACAAGGTAGATTCGAGGTACATTTTTTGACAGGCCCTAAGTTATTATTTTTAACTTAATTAAATCACTTTGTACTTTCATTTCACTTTGTAAATCAATGATTTTCAATGCACAAGGTCTTGTTGGACGGAATTAATATGATAGAATCAGATAAAATCCAACTAATCAGAAACTCAATTATTCTAAGCACGATGTATGTCTTATCTGAATAAGGAAAAAATGTCTCCAAGGCAAAAGACCACCAACTTAATAGTTTTCCTTTGATTGTTGAAATTTTAAGCGATTTTGCATTGTTATGACTTTTCCTATTATAACCTCAAATGGTGCTTTAAGTTGCTGTTGAATTTGTTCTCATAATTTATGGTTTAAAATTGAAGTTGAGTTATCAATTTCATGCTTTTTTCTCTGTCAATGCACAAGTTGGTTATTTAGTTTGGAAAGCACTGCTGGGGATCCCAACGATCTTGACTGAGGTTTCTTTGACTGAAAGCTGAGTTCTGTGCTACGGGAATGTCTTTCAAGAGTTTACCAAGCTGTACAGTGTTATGTCCTGGACTTAAATACAGCCTAATGATCTGTGTTATGTTGGGTTTGAACTGAAGAAGGTTTATGAATTGTTATGAGATAAGTATGGCAAATGCGAGAACAAATATGAATCGAAATCAGTATGAAACGGATTTTGTTAAAAGTGTTACTGTTGGTTTGTCAAGTCTGGTTGTCAAAATATGTTGGTAAAAAGATTTTTTGTGTAAGAAACTTGCAGGATTATGCTGTGAAACGATACCGGTAACATAAGGCTTTCAAAAGTGGCATAAAGTGTAAACATACTCTGAGTATTTTAAATATTCGTAACATATTTTACATCAACTTTGCTGTAAAGTTTAATTTTGTAAAAAATAGTTGACTGTAAAATAATATTAAGATAGTGTATTCGATCGTCAAATAAGTGAGGAACGAACAGAGGTGACGAATAAAAAAACCACCCCAGAGGTGGCTGTATGTTATATTCCTTGTTGATTTGTGTAATAAAATATTTTTAGATACGTAGATGTGATTTATAAAATGTTATTGGCTATTTGTAGACGAAAACTAACTAGTGTTATGTTTTGTTTTATATAAAATTGCGGGACAGCAAAACAGTCTATTAGTTATCACACATCGATGTTATTTTTTTATCTAGGCCTGTAAAGATGTTTTAACGTTAGACAATACCGTTACTCTTTTTAACTTGTAATGTATCTCGGAAATTGAATTATCAGATGTGCTAGAGGCCAAAATATTTTATTGCAACGTGTTAATGTGCTGATTACAATTTTGGCAAAAATTAATTGTTTGATAATTGATAGCGCTTTGAAAATTAATTCCAATAATTTTAAATAATCTGGGTGGTTTCAAGATAAGTATGTTAACTTATCCTTTGAAGAATTTCCAGTGATACCCAAAAAATGCTCAATTTATTTGCACAATGTGGTTGAATGATTTCGCTTATAGTGCCTGCAGATTTGAGTGTCGATTCTAAATTGTCCGTTGCCAAAATGTTAAAACACTGTAGGTGTGTGTTTGCGGTTACCGAGTGTTTTCATTTGTCGATGCTTTCACAGCTACAGTGTTCTGGATGTTTACCATTTTTGTAAATCAAATCGTACTTATGAAATCGTTCCTGTCAGAGTAGATGGGTTTGTTGAGACGAAGGGAGGTTGCTAACTATTGCCGCTTCCATCGATATGATGAGACATTAGGCCTAAGCGCATATCTGATCCTTAGTGTTGTTGTAGGTAGCTACGTCTGTTGGAGCTTTATGTAAATAGTACCATAGCGGAATGTTTCAATACATATTTTTTGTCTACAGTTTTTTCATAGTTTTAATTAAGTCTAGTCTAGTCATATTGGTACCAAGTGAATAGAGATAATACGTTTACATTGTTTAATTAAATAGATATGGAAATACAATTTAAAATTTCAAAAAAATATTCTGCATAACTTATTACCTGTCTTTTTGGTCAATTACAACATTTATCAAAGAGCCATATCAATGAATACAGTTGCGAAATTTAAATTTAAGGGTTTTGTGGTGGGTAGGTTTTTAACAGGTTTACCTAAGTGACAAAAATATATGAAAATGCACAAATAAATACATAGAATTTACGGAGCTACTAGCTACTTCTTCAGGAGTAGAGTATATTTGTTCTTGCCAAAAACAAGAAGTTAAAACAAATTTTGGTTAACTTTTTTTGGACAAACCATCCCAAAGTAGTTAAGGTTACAGGTTGTTTGCAGATTTAAAGTTTGCATTACACCTTTCACCTTTATGAACATTATATACGACACGGTCATCTCAACACCATTTTGATTCACCTTTCTGAGTATTGGCTACAGCATACACTGCTGTTTTTAATTGAATAAGGTTTTAACTGACCACAAGATTCTCATCCCTGGAACGTGCTCACAGCTACAAGACAAATTGTCCATATGACACATGGTCCACAACAGCTAATTGTTGTTTTGCACATGGACCAACACAACTCACTGTTCAAGCACTTTGATTGAAAACCGCCTTTTCAATTTCAATTTATTGAACCAGAAATAACAAAATTTTGAAAGTTACACACGTTAGTTAGTTTGACACAAATATTAAGTTATCACAACAAAACACCATTCCAGCAAATACACTTTAGTATTCAATATATGGAAAAGAATAAACCTTTTGCTAAGCTAATAACTAGTATTTATTCACTTAATAAAATTACAAATAAAAAAAACACATTGTTTATATACACAACACATCAGTTTGGCAGTGCAATGTCCGTGATAGCTGTTGTAGAAGGTCATCGAGAACTGCTAGATGATGAGCGACTGTACCTGCGGCGCCGGGCCGGGGGAGGGGAGTGGCGCCGACGAGGGGGTGACATCCTGCGCCGCGGGGGCGGAGGTGTGCGACGACGGTACCGTGGAGGAGACCGACCCCCTGGACCGCCCCACCTAGGCGGGGGACCCCTTCGCGGAGGGGACCTGCGGGGCCGCATCTTGGGTAGCAACACGGGCGCACAAGTGATCTCTTGTCCGTCAATTTGACCTACAATCAATAAATTTGATCATTTTTTTAAAGAAGCTAGTCACTTGATGATTTAGACTATCCAAACAATAGATTTGGTATCCAGACTGTTATTTAAATTTTCACTAGAAATAGTTTGACTAAGTTCCTATATATTTAATTGATACCACCTTTTTACAAGGCGAACTTTTTACTTTTACTGACTTCCTTTCAGTATATAAGTACTAGGAGAAAACTTTTCATAAAAGGTGTCTGAGGAGTTTTATTTCTTTGATGGGGCCTATTTTAGAAGTGAAAATTAAGAAAAAATATTCTTAAGTTCATGAAGTTATAATTAGCCTACATGAATGGTACAAGTTTTCAACACAAAAAGATTACAGTTCATATAGGATGAGCACAGGTATAAGTTCCCTTGCCAAAATTTACAATAGATGAATCATGAAAACTTATTAGTCAACAACTCACTCGGCCAGCCTGATAAATTAAAATCAAATATTTATGAAGGCCTACAGATCGATTGGACGAGTGCCACTAAAATATTTATTCCTTCAGCTTAAACATTTGAACAAGTTTTGTTTCATCTAAGGCTTCATTTGATTAAATAATGAATATAAATTTTGTAGCTTATCGGCTTTTGCAGCATGCAAGAATTTATAATCTGTAAATCTAAAATATGTAGGCCTACTTGAAGAAGTCTATTTGAAAAAAATGTATCACCTCCGTCCATGTGTTTCATCGCGTTCTCCGCTTGCTCGGCAGTTTCAAACTCCACGTAGGCGAATCCACGACCTTGGGGTGGATGAAGTCTGTCTACTGGGAACTCCACAGCTTTTATGGTTCCGTAGCTGCTGAATATCTCGGAGATGTGGTCTTTGGAGACATTACGAGTCAACCTCCCCACATGGATTCGCAGCGGTTTGGGTGTCGGTGACCTCTCCTTACGTTTGCGTTTTGGAGACGGAGAGCTGAATAAATTCACAGTTTTATAAAAAGTTAGGGTGTGCGAAGCAGCAAACAATTTTAAAAGCATTAAAAGCAATGATTTGATCCAAAAGATTTTTGATTTGAATCTATGCAACCCGATTCGAAGCAATATGGCATTTTTCTATTCATACTTTTCAATGGAGTGAAATAACAATTAAAATTTACCACAATGCAAATTTTGTTTATGTGGTATTTGGCCTATTGGCCACATATGACATATATGAATTTTAGATGAAAAAATATTTATTTTCAATCATATATTAGAAGAAGCTGTATTGCTGGAAATGTCAGTGAGCTGCTTTACTTGCCTATTTCATAATTTGGTTAAGCATGTTACATATTTTATAATATTGATTTTACAAATGAAAATAAAATATGTTTGGTGTAAACAAATTAAAAAATTTGTAAGATTTATACTGAAACTTTCAATTGGTTTACTTTGATAAAATGAGAGGATAGAATCAGTATCAGACTTACAAACTACAAGGTATACAATATACATAGCTTCAGACCTACAAAAATACCAATTTATCAGTCTAAAACATCAGTCTTACTAGTTAAGTATTATAAATTTAGTAACAATTTTTCAGACTTGCGTTATTTTTCTAATGATTTGGGAGTGACTTGTTTTGGCTATGTTTACAGTACCGCAGTAAAACATGTCTCACACTGCTTACACTTAAAAAAACTTCTCATCATTTGCAATGTCAAACCAAAAAATTATAAAAGAATTAAAGCAAAATTTACATGCAATAATTAATTAAATAAGAACGCCTTCACAAAGGAAACGCAACAACAACGCGCTCCTGTATTGCAGGTATTGCATTGACTTTCTGCAGGCGTTTTTCGTATATGGATACTGATTCTCTCATGAATCGAATAGTTTTTTGACCACCAATCGAATTGCAAAATATTCAATAAAATCGAATCGTAATTTCGATGCATTTTTGATACATCGCACACCCCTAAATAACAGCCATTAAAACATTTAGATACAAGCCTACAACTAGATAACATTGTACTAAGAAAAAGATAAGTTAATGACAAATATATGGACAGTTTATGAATATCGACTTTAACTTGACTACTTTTTTGATAATTGCAGCCTGATTGGGGTAAGAAAATTACTCTTCATTCTTTATAGCATGGATCTAAAATCGACAAATGTACTTTAATACTTTTCAATGGAATGGCGACCACACAAAGTAGGTATCTTAAGCCAAGTATGAATGGAGATGAGTGTAGGATGAGTGGCGCGATCTTGTAGTCTTGTTAGTGTATAAGGCCGACATTCCTTAGACATAGCTGTTAATTAATAGCCCATACAGCTAATTGCAACTAAGGGACCTACAGTTTATAGTGGAATCCGAACCACATTCGGACACATTTTGCCTTGGTATTAACCAATTGGTCTAATTATCAGGATAGTACTGCGGATAGTCGTAGTACTCACTAGTGCGGACAATAATCCACACCAGGGAGTATTGTATCCACAGTGCATGCTTATAAATATCCACAATTCGTGACCTCGTAGTAGCTGGATTACAGGACGTCGCCACCGTCCCAGTCAATGTAATTTATTGTAAATTAGTAGGTATTTTTATTCATCAATCACCTAATAGTTGACTGTATTAAAAAACATCTTTGAAAAATAAAAGAGTAAGACCAGTAGGCTTATTGCATTATTAGTTTTACCTTGGAATGAATGGCTAGGAAGCTGAGTGGTTATAATGCTTACCTAACTATCAAAAGGTCCAATCAACTGAGAAAAGTCAGCCGCTTTACGTAGGTTCTAAGCTGGACCTAGCTGTTCCTGATTACTAGGCTTTAAATAAACGATCCTGGCTAGGTGGTGTCACCATCTCAATTGGTACCTAATTAAGTTTTGAACCCTTTAAAGTTACAATTATTTAAGATGACGCATAACCAGGTGTACTTAAGCCAAATGTTAGGGCCTAGTGATGGCTGAGTATAAAATGGATTGGGCACAAGATTATATTATAAGGTTGCAAGTTGAGAGATAACTCGCCACCAGAAACACACTAACCGTGATTTTTTCACTGCTGTCTTGAGCTTCTCAGATTTCTTTTCCTTCTTCTCCCTGTTCTCTTTATCTTTGTCCTTATCTTGCTTGGGTTTCTTGGTCTCGGGACTGCGGCTGCGACTAGCTGCTGGAGCAGAAGCTTTACGTTTGGCCTTGGCTCTTGCAGCCGAGCTGTCTGTCGAGGATGAGCTCGTGGAGCTTGAGCTTGAGCTAGATCTTGAATTTGAGCTCGAGCTGTGAGATGAAGAGGACCCTGATGATGATGATGAACTACTTCTCGAGCTGTACAACAAAATCAATTCTGATAAAAATAATCTACTCCTTGTGGTAGGATACAATAGACCTACAACACACCCTTATTAAAACAAATTAATTTCTTCTTCATTAACGAATCCTCACAGGACCGGGTCTCAGTCAGACAACAAAGTATAAATAAACAGGCAACCGTGTGAATTTGTAATACCGTACTGTACAAACATATGCATACGGTACTCAATTTATTTGTAACAATCCATTGATATTAGATAAACTGAAAATTAGGTAGCTAGGCTACTCAAGTAAGCCTAACAAGTACCTACCAGTATGCAAAATTATGTGTTGGTAACATAACTGAACCAATTGACTATACAGTACAAAAATCATAATATAGCTCGTATTTTACTACTGTGTTAAGAATATAGCCTACCTCAGATCACTACAAGAACGCCAAGTTTTTAAATTTAGTGCAGATAAACTGACCTCAATCCGGGCTTAGGTTATTAATTGCTTTTGATTCAGGTTAATTAAGAAAGAGTCTTTTGCAACTACAAATTTCGGTTCTATCAAAAAATGTGAGAGTAATAAACTGTAGGTAAACTGACTTTCAAGATACTTAAAACTACA